TAAACAACTATAATTAATATCTCCATTTCGTACACTTTTATACAGATGTAACAATCATTTCCGGAATAATCGATGATACAATTACATAAAGAAAACAATAAGGGAAAACGAAATTCAAAAATTTTAAATGATAAAAGATAAAACAATAGAAAAAAAATTCAAATTGAACAATTTAATCAATTTGAACGACATCGAAGGTTCTTAAAATTCTCAAAATTTTCAATGATACAGTTACAGTCATAGAGAAAATAAAAGAAGAGAAAAGAAATGTGAAATATATATTTCACGTGTTTGAGAGAGCACGTAATTGAAATAATTTCAATTTGAACAATTTGATCAATTTCAACATCGAAGGTTCTCCAATTTTTTAATTTAATGTCCGCAATTACTGCGACATCGAAAGCTCTCGAAGTCTTCTATTTCGTGATCCTAATGTCTAATTTGAACGATAGAAAAGATTTTCAAAATTCTCAAAATTCTCGATGATATAGGCATAGAGAAAATAAAAGAAGAGAGAAGAAATGTGAAATATATATTTCGAGTATTTGAGAAAGCACGTAATTGAAATAATTTCAATTTGAACAATTTGATCAATTTCAACATCGAAGGTTCTCCAATTTTTTAATTTAATGTCCGCAATTACTGCGACATCGAAAGCTCTCGAAGTCTTCTATTTCGTGAGTCTAATGTCTAATTCGAACGATATCAAAGGCTCGCAGGTTTTCTTACAGGACTCTGATACCTAACTCGAACAACGTGGTAAGCACTTGAATTCTCTTATTAATACCTGCAACTTACAGACGAGGGCGTCTACAACACATACGTGCTTGATTCGGACTACAAGTCGTGGGCACTGCTGATGCACTGTGCGGAACAAAGCAAAAGTCCCCGTTACTTATCGAGCTTCATCATGAGCCGAGAGCCGAGTCTCGGAGCTAACGTTATTTCTTATCTACGCGAGAAGTTGCCCAGGTGAGTAACAACGTGGTCTTATGTCCCTCGAACAGGGATAACTGATGATTTTGCCCATACCAGAATTTAATTAATACCGTGGATATCCAGCACCGTGACTGCAGGCTCATGAAATATTCATTCCAATGGAACCCAGAATATTCCAAGCTTCAGAGAGTTTGAAAGATTCTGGAAGTTTATTCGGTTGTTTCCTTACATTTATTTGTTTGATCTACGAAGTTTAATCGTTTATTCGCTAACCGCGCTGTGAATATTGCACTTGGTCTTTTTACTGAAACACCAGGTACATTTATTGACAAAAATCAAGATCTGCGAATTTTTTGATATTCCTTCCTTTTCGTTCTGATTTTGAGACGTACAGGCTAAAATTGAAAATAGATTCTATGCAAAATATTCGAGGAAAAATTGATTTTTATTGGTGATGTGTAAGATGTCTCTCCATCCTGTTTTTAATTTTGATATATGTATCTCGGCATATAAAGGGTGGAGAAAAGATAGGGTATGATTATTGGGTTTCTTAACTTTTGTGCGTGAGTGTATGTCTGGCAGATTGTTGAAGATGTGGTCAAATTGTTATTGTGAGAGTCATTTAGTGAGGTAGAAAGAAAGTTCGCGAATAATAGTTTCGTGTATGAGATTTTGATGTTTTCTGGATTAATTTAATTTTTTGGAGAGGCAATGTACATTTTTGCAATAATATTGATAGCTATTTCTTGAGATTACTTCATAATGATATAGTGTCTGTTAAAATTATTTTCTAATAATGTACATTGATGTAATGACGTTAGGATGTGTATTTAAATTATCGTGCAATAATGTCACAGTGTTTGATAATTTGATTATAACGATGTGCTATGTAACTATCTGCTATGTATTCGATGTGGTATATTTTCAGTCTCTCAAGTCTATGGCACAATTATGTAGAGTTCAGCTAGCCAATGACCTATGAATTGTGCTGTCTTTAGAATCTCTTAGAAAATATCAAAGTCCTTTTCTATATTAAATCACTATCAACAAACTAATGATATTTGAACACAAATAAAAATTTATGGTCTTCTGTTCGGAGCAAATGATCTTGAAATTTTTTCGATAACTTTGTATTGGTACAAGAGAATTCCTACATTAACTAAGCAACTCTTACACTATTCATTTTTTCACATATTCAGCCATCTACTGGATATTTTAGTATTTTCAATCGAAAGAGACACATTATATATTACTTTAAATTACGGATAATTATAACAACTATAATCGTTAGCATAATTATTATTATTAAATTATCAGAAGAATTACAATAATTTAGATTAGTTTAAAAATTGGATAGATCTTGGAATATTTATTTCATTTAATAATTATTATTATTAAAAAGAAATTAAATTCGAGTCACAGTTATATAAAATCAGGGTTTCAATAAATTTCGTTACTAAAGAGAAATCAAATTTGGTTAATTTTTCTACAAAAAGGTACGATATCGACTTGGAGTACATGTTCCCTATGGATCACAATCAGTGCAACAAAATATTTTAGTATTTTCTATTGAAAGAGACACATTATATATTACATTAAATTACGGCTAATTATAACAACTATAATCGTTAGCATAATTATTATTATTAAATTATCAGAAGAATTACAATAATTTAGATTAGTTTAAAAATTGGATAGATCTTGGAATATTTATTTCATTTAATAATTATTATTATTAAAAAGAAATTAAATTGGAGTCATAGCTATATAAAATTGGGGTTTTAACCCTTTGCACTCGAGAGGCGCCTCTCAGTCGCCATTAAATCAAATTCTAAAGATGGATGTTAATTAACATATCGAATTTACAATTACCCAACGGTGCGTGGAATATCGAAGTAAAATAATTTTACGTCCTAAATTGCGCGTGATTTCTTTTATTTACCGTTTTAAAAATATCGTCAACCTTATGGCAAGTATTCAAATTACTATTTTACTGTAACGAAAAAATCGCCGAGTGCAAAGGGTTAATAAATTTCGTTACGAAAGAGAAATCAAATTTGGTTAATTTTTCTACAAAAAGGTACGATATCGACTTGGAGTACATGTTCCCTATGGATCAGAACCAGTGCAACAAGACAGAGACTTCCGCGTTGGACCTGCTGCTCCCGCCATCGGTGCTGATCAGAAGAAACAACGCTGCGCGGAAACACCCATTGAAAAGGAAACATCGACGTGTCTGAATTTAATATGCACCTTCATGTTCGAATAGGTAGAGTCCTGTAACAACTATCAACGCCGTAAATGTGTAGTATCTTACATTAGGGAGGGATATCGCTTCACTCCAAGTGTCCTGCTGTTTCAATTACAGTAATAAAAGTTCCTCAACTTTTAGTAACATTCGACTTTTGATACACTGTAATCGAAAATAAAAAAAGAAAATTGCAACTAATAAAAGAGGATGACAGGTGTCACATTTTCATAGATATTTATGAAAGTTTACACGAGTATTCATTGGTCAGGTCTGAGAGTTTTACAGCGAATGGTTCCATTTTTCGTTTTCGAAACTCTTTCGCGTTGATTTATTTGCAATCGAATATTACGCGAATGGACAATTGTCGACCAGGAAATTAGCGGAAATTCATGAAATTCGCGAAATACGTGTAACAATATGTCCCCAATGGAGGGACATTACGGCACTCCTGGCAATTTGTCCACTTATTTTGAGAGCGAATTGTGACGAAGGTACAGAGCCACATGTGCGTAACCTGAGTTCTAGTAAGAGAACTCAAAGACTCAAACGTGAGTCATCCAGCGCGAATGAGTTAAAAAAAGGAACTATTCGAGGCACCCTATTTACGTATGCAAATGCAATATTAAATTACAAAAGATATCTAAAAGTGAAAAAGAAATATCGTTCTTAATCAGAATTTTACTATTTTTAACGCTGTGTATATTAGCGAAACTTCATAATTGTAAATAATAATATTTTATGATTAAAATGAGTAAAATGATCATAAAAGTTTTTACAAAATTTGTTAAAAAATCGACAGAAATTTGTTTAAAAAATTTAACAATAACCGATTTTATGATACGTTCAAATATAATAACTATGTCTGAATGAAGCTGATTTTAAAAGGATTGTAGGTCAATATATGATATTTTAAAATAGAAATATGAACCCTGAATGGCCTTTTGTACTCTTGTTTCAAGTTATCCACTCGATTCTTTTAAAATTGAATGGAATGGCAAAAGTAGGTATCTATTTGCAGATATAGTACACTGAAGTGCATACTGGTTGAAGATATGGACAGTAGGACGGCTTCAATCATTTTTCTCTATATAGCTATTGTTTGATCGGAGTATATTTCCAAGTTAAAACTGCTTTCGTTGAAATTGAATTTATTCTCCATTATTTAATTGTTACTTCGTCTCTATAATCTTCCATTGGTGTATTAATAGACCTTCAGAATTTAATTTATAAAAACGAGGTATGAATTGTATTATTATATTAGTGTCATCACATCATACTGTGAAATTTTGTTTAATTAAATATTTACTAATAATCGCTTCGTATGATACGAGATAGATACTTCCACTCTTAAACACTATCTTTGAGACCAATATCGGTAATAATTTCTATATCCTGTCTGTCACATTTTTATTTGTATTATTTTCTAGATATTTCGACATTTCTAAAGCAATTTTATGTCATTTGATGTCGATATCCTTTCTCTATGTTTCTTGAAACCTAGATTTCTTCTTTTCTTTGCGAAGTCTCATTTCTTATTCGTATAGAATATTTACAAAAGTTTAAAAATAGGAAAATTTCTTAAAAGACATTTCTTGGTATCTTTTGGAATTTAAATAACGTAAATCTTTTCTGGTGAAGTAAATATTCATATCTGACTGCCATACTGTTAGGGACGATCACGGTACTAGTCTATTGAAATATCGAATACTCGGATCCTTCAGAATTTGTAACACTTACGATTGATTTGAACGAAGATTAAAGTATATAGATTTATAGACTTATGATTAAATTATGTGATTGATTTAGGTACTTAAATTTTTAATGAACTCCTACTGAGCTTTTGCTGTTATGTAAGTGGTATGGATGTGCTTTGTATTACGATGTAAAATGTATTTCAAAAATTCGTGTATAAAATTGTATAAAGAACGAAATCATTACAAGGGTAATTTTGTATCACAATTTTAATTACTGATTTAACATTTTTATAATTATACATTCATTCTACCACTTATATTGAAGTAATATTTTATGAAATACATTTATATTGAATACTCTCTTTTAATATATTATGCGATTTCAGCACTATTGTATATAACATTATAAAATATGTACATTTAAAAAGATTCCTGTATGAATAAATTATATAAAATTATAGTTTATAAGAATATTTCGTATCGTGCTTGAAAGAATTAGTTTATACTATATTTCTTGTATCACAAACGTACAATAATTGTTATTCGATACTAAATAATATTTCAAAGTTTCTTCTTCTGTAACAGCTACATTAAAACTTTATATATTTATAACATGCAAATAAAAACCATTATGATTTCAATTTAGTTGCCTAAGTATTTTGTTGCTTGGAATATTGCTCGTAATTATTTTACTTTCGTAACATGATAATTATTACATTAAAAACCTTTAGACTACAAATATTTATAATACACGGCTACATTTTCAATATGATAAATATAGTAGTCTAGTACGTACAATGATATAGAAATTTTTAGAATCCTTAATCATAGAAATCAATAATTTCCTATTTGATTCTCACAAATTTTACTCGTTTCTAAATTTACTTAATACCGTAATAATTAATTCAAAAATAATTCATATACTTAAAGTAAAATACAAGTTCGTTACCTCACGTAACTAACTATCAGTACTGTTGCAGGTTTATTGTACTTTTAATGTATTTTACAGGAACAAATACGTAATTAGAGAAACAGAAATGAGAACCTGAAAATTTAACAGTACATTGTTAAAAAGATTCCACGTATCGAATTATTCTACTGATGCTTCGTTTTGATTGCATGATTAAGAGACCAATAAAAGGGATAATGAAACAGAAGCTTCTTAGACACTTTGGGCTAGTTTTATTAATTCAATTAACAACGTGTTATAATACTCTTCGTCTCTTTCTCTTACTTATAATTACATAATTGTAATGAACTGTTATTGTTTTCTTTAGACCCGTCGTCTTTCAACATCTTAGCGTAACTCATCCAAAGTCGCGGACACACACTTGCAGGAGCACGTAGGATCATTATGATCATCATCATCATTATCATAATCATCATTATCATCATCAACACCACCATCATCACCATTAGAATCGTTATCGAAACAGTCGTCGTCAGATAATCACCCAGCGCACCTAGTACTTAATTTTACTGGATATGGCAGCTACAACTTATAAGAAATATTACAAAATCACTGAAGATTCGTTCTTCTTGCGTCTCGATAGTTTCTCACTCACACAAAACGATCATACCGACACGAGCTTTCCTTGAAGTTTCACACGACGTTCCTTCTCGTCATTTTTCTTTCCCTTTTCTTTTTCTCATTTTCCCCCTTTTTCAAGATTTCAGACTTGTCTTCGTGTACACGTCTTCGCGTGGTGGGCCTGCTGCTCGAGGAAACGTCGTCGACATTTCACAGTCGTTCCGCGCAAATTATTATTTACCGACAGAACATGCACGATGCCATCGGTCTCTCCTTTTTGTATAACTCCACCATCGAAGTTTACATCGCGTTTAATAAAGGATAATTACACGCTCGATGACTAATATCGTGTGTCGAATAGGAAGAACGTAGTAAAACCTATGTATACGCGTGTTGTACGTGTCTGTAACTGTATGTATACATGTGTTCGCGTATGTATCTTATCTGTTATACATGTACGTATATGTTGTTGCGTATGTGTGTGCGTATGTTCCTCTCGAGATCTTTATAAGTAGTTGAGCTGTAATTGAACAAGTTCTGAACAAAGCCGCGTGAGGGTCGATCACAACGCCAGTCGCGAATGCAAGAGATTCACACTATACCCGTACGTACACGCATTCACTCCTTCGCTCTACGGGCTGCATATGCAAATTTACTATTAGTCTTCTAGTAATTTAGTATTAATTAGTTACACAATTAATTTATTTAATCGCTTGTAATTAATTATCTAGTCGTTAAATCTGTTTCTCGTGAATTCGCGTTACTTGTCCGTGTACGTTACGTGTTTTCCTATGTGTAACTGTCATGTATGTATATATATATTTATATATATGTCGCGTGTTATGTTTACCTGCGTACGCGGAATGTTTATGTAAGCGTCTACGTGTATTCGTGTAAATGTGTCAGTGTCCCTTGCACGTGTCACCGTGTACGTGTTCTAGCCTTCTGTATTATTTTTTTTTTTTCCTTTTCAATTAATGTGAGACGGTGTTTAGTATTATTTCATATAGTTGGTAGACTATCTATTTACTTGAGTTTACGTGTTATAAATATCGTATAGTAAACCGCGTTCTGTTACTTCGTCATTCGATTATGCGCTTTGTACGAGGGTGCAATGCGAACCGAGTGATATTACAGTTGATTTGTGTACATGTGTGTCGTGTGTCAACGTAAATCCCGTGGTAGTAGCTCATCGAGATCACCGCCGTATCTAGAAGCGTTCGTTCGACAAACGACGACTACTCGAACCGAAATGCAACACCGATTTGCTGCGTGTAGATCGATATCCGAGCCAATGCTCATCGAGCTCGCACGAGAAGGAAGAAAATAAAGATATACAACGACGATCGGGTGCACGGTTCGACGTCCTAGATTCGGCGACAGAATGAAACGCGGCACAGAAAAATTTTCAGATCGAACCGAAACACGCTCGAAGTTAAGAGAGAAGAACAGAGAAACGATACGGTTATAGAACAGCGCTTGCGCATATACACGTACGAAGGTTCATCGCGTATCTCACGACGACGGATGAACTCCCGTTAGATGTTAGAAGTACTAGACGAAATCGGCGAAGTCTCTCTACTGCTTAAAGTTACAGGTAAACGACTAGCTGTCGATAGTCCGATTTTTCCTTCAACTTGAACAGACAGAAGATTGACTATTACGGTGGGATAGCGGCGGCGAACTATCGGACAGCGCGGTCCTAGTTTCATTTTTTTTTTTTTTCATTTTGTGTAAATAGTTATAAGAGAGTACGATAGGAGGCAATTACAGGTTACGGATAGTCGATTGACAGATTTTTTTTTCTCTCCCCAAGAACGGTACAAGCGTGTCCATTCGGTCGACATTCACGAACAGTTCGAACGACCGTTCCCCATTTTGATCCTCTTCGATGCGTAATCCCCGAAAAAGCGAACTGTTCACGTTCTTCGATTCAGTTCGGTATATACTCGTATCTTCGTTTACCATTGTATCGCTACGTACAGACCCGTACAGATTGACGAAACTAGCGATAAATTCGTGTACGCACGCTAACGTGGTACGAGGAATGTCTGAAGGAAATGCAAGAAACAAGACCACGGAACGGATAGAAAGACGGAGTAGGAAATGAAATAGAGGCGAAACAGCGCACGAAGAGAGAAGAAGAGAGGAAACTGCGGGATCTGATTAATCGCGAGGAAATTAACACCGTTGTTGGATCGTGACCCGTCGAATCGAGTCGTTAACCGAGACGATACACTCTGAGGGACACGAGAAATTGTATCGCTTATATTTAACGTGGAAGCAATATTACAGTCCTATGGAACTCGTATATCGGAATCGAAATGTATGCTCTCAGCCTGTTGTATTCTGTTTTCCTTTTTCTTTCTTTTTCCTCTGTTTTTGATTGTCGTATTTTGCGCCTCGAGACAACGTCGACAGTTTCGTCTCTTCGCCTCTGCTCGCGGTGATAACAATAACGACGATCCAATAATAAGTAGAAGAAATTGAACAGTAATGAAAATAGTCGATGAACACACGGCTAGAGTCACGCATTCCAGTCGATATCGTGCTGTAGATCGATCGAAGAAGCGACGGCAAATTCGTTCGTTCGATTGGTCCGACGTGTTTCTAATACGCGGCTGTTTGCCCCCCTCCCCCTAACCCCCGCCCCACGGATCAGGCTACGATTTCAATTTCCCACGAACACCGTAAATTTATAAAGGCGTACGACGTTGAGAAGATTATCGTGGCCGCGGTAAAACGATCGCAAACGGACCGGTCGTTCGGTGGATCGCGTCTCGATGATCACTGTTTCACATTCGACGAGCCATTGCAGTTAGTGATCTGACGAATTGGCGAGGTTCGCTGTCAGTAGACCCAGGACACAGGTACCCATTGCGGTGTCGTGTACACCCGCTCGATGGCCGCCTCTAATTGTGCGATCGTCTCGTCTATCTCGTTGTTCACGATGGTCAGGTCGAAAAAGTGGCCGTACGCTTGCTTCAGCGACTCCGACTCTTTCGCCAGTGTCTCCAGGCTTCCGTCACACTGAAGCATTCAACGGAATGTTGCTTGAATGTTAGAGTATGAAATTAGCATGTCGAGAATTCGTGCAATTTCTTTCACTGCCACAAAGCAATAAATTTAATTATCTCTATATTTCATTCTGTATTTTGTTATCCTGATAAAATGGAGTATTGATATTAAATATTTGGAAATATAAATTAAATATCCTAACAGAGGTCCATATAATTTCATATAACTTGATTATTGCATTCCATGGACCTGGCATTCACGTTTAAAATAATTTCTCTCCAATTATATTGGAACTTTTACGTGTACTTGTTTACTATACTTATATAGCTATTTTATATCGTGGTCTAAGGATTGATTTATTTTTGCATGTCAAGAATTTGTGCAATTTCTTTCACTGCCACAAAGCAATAAATTTAATTATCTCTATATTTCATTCTGTATTTTGTTATCCTGATAAAATGGAGTATTGATATTAAATATTTGGAAATATAAATTAAATATCCTAACAGAGCTCCATATAATTTCATATAAATTGATTATTGCATTCCATGGACCTGGCATTCATGTTTAAAATAATTTCTGTCCAATTATATTGGAACTTTTACGTGTACTTGTTCATTATACTTATATAGCTATTTTAAATCGTGGTCTAAGGATTGATTTATTTTTGCATGTCAAGAATTTGTGCAATTTCTTTCACTGCCACAAAGCAATAAATTTAATTATCTCTATATTTCATTCCGTATTTTGTTATCCTGATAAAATGGAGTATTGATATTAAATATTTGTAAATATAAATTAAATATCCTAACAGAGCTCCATATAATTTCATATAAATTGATTATTGCATTCCATGGACCAGGTATTCACGTTTAAAATAATTTCTCTTAAATTATACTGAAATTTTTACGTAAATTCGTTTACTATACTTATATCACTATTTTATATCGTGATCTAAGGATCGATTTATTTAATCAGCAATTTTTGTCTACATATCTAGGATTAAAATTTCGATTTCGTTTTATCCTTCGTTAATTTTCCTCGAATATACTTATTCCACTCGATTTCCGCTCTTTCCTTCGAATTGTTTATTTCTACCGCAGTCATCGAGTACCCGCGCGATCCCTGGTGACATACTTATCACGGTAAAGTCAATTAAAATGGCGACGTTGGAGTTCCGTAATCTCGTCAACGGTCGATTAATCGTGCAATTAGTTAATCCCACGACAGTAGTTACCCCGGTTTCCTTGGGAAGATGTCAACGATCGATATTCGTTACTTACATCGGTGATGTTTTGGAACACCGGGGAAGTGATGAAAACGACATAAGGCGCGAACTCCGCCGTGCGTAACACCTTCAGTGCCTGAGGTTCGACGTCCAGTATCGCCACCTTGCCTTCTTCGTGAATTTTCCGAATCGTTTCTAGCTTCGTTCCGTACATTGCGTTCTCGTGTGTACCTATAACAAAAGAATTACGTTAGCGAAAATTGCATAGGAAACGAAAGATAGATTAGTCTTACGAATTGATACGGTTATTTACCATATTCGAGGTACTCATTGGCAGCGATGTCGGCCATCATTTCATCGTGCGATATGAAATAATAATTGCGACCATTCTCTTCGTCGTTCCGTGGAGGCCTCGTTGTATCTGAAACATCATGTAATTTCGACTAATGACATATTAAATATAAAATACATATTTGGTATTTATTCGTGAATAATGTAGGATATCAGCATAGAAAGAATTCAACATAAATTTCGGAGGTTTGCAGTTTATAAATCCGGGCACAGAATGGACTTTACTGAACACGATTATGAACCAATCTTAACACTAGGTTTACGGACGCTATATGTATACATATTTCTAAGGACACTTGTCAAGTTGACAGGTAAAGGAATCCACGTGTCTTTATTTTTCAATGATTAGTTTAATTTAAAAATAATTATATATTATATTAACATTCTCAATATATGTTGACTAAATCTGTTACCATCGTATAATTGGAGCAACCCTTCCGTCAAATTGATGGGTTCCGTAAATTTAGTGTTAAAAAGACTAAACCTGAAATCTCTTGAAGCTCGTAGGACGATTTTTGATCTACTATTCTTATTTAAATTAATTAATGGTATCATTAACTCTTCTGCACTACTTTCCTCTATCAACTTTTATTCGCCTGCTAAATCACTAAGATCATTTTGAGCATTCCTATCTTGTAAATATACTTCCAGATACGCTAATACCGACCCTGTAAGACGAATTTGCGAACTTGCAGAAAGGACCAGTTTCGAGGTAGATTTCTTTACTGGATCGGTCAATTCCTTTCATAAACTATTATCTAAATATGTCTAATTTATATACTATTATATATAATATTATATACTATTATTTAAACATGTCACTTAATATTATATATAATATTATATACCATTATCTAAATATGTCACTTTTTCATTCGCATTTAATATGTAACTTTTTCTCTTTATATGTAATGTCCTCCGTATAGAACTTGTTAAGTCCACAAATATACACTAATGGGGCTACCCGTTAATTATATAAATAAATAAATAAATAAACAAATAAGCAAATAAATAAATAATTTTATTTATACAGCAGCTTCGTAATAATAGCAATTAAAAAAGAAAACTGATAGAGGAAATATGTATATCGTATATTTTTATTATATTATAGTTTAGCATGAACGAGGAGTTAATACTAGAAGTAACAAAGGAGTCAAAGTGACTGGTTCTAGATACTAGTGTAGCATCGAAAATATTTTAGGCGAGTGGAATGAACGAATGACGAGTATTCTGCACGGTGAAGCACCGGATCGCGCGATTGTCGGTCCAAATGACCAATGTTTGGAACGGTGTAGCAGAGAATCAAGCGATTGTCGGCGCGAATGACCAATGTTGGGAACGATGTAGCAGCGAATCGAGCGACTGTCGGCGTGAATAACGAGTGTTCGGAATACTGTGGCGGAGAATAGAGCGATTGTCGGTGCGAATAACGAGTGTTCGGAATAGTATAGCAGAGAATCGAGCGATTGTCGCAGCGAGTGTTCAGAACGGTGTAGCAGCGGATAGAGCGATTGTCAGCGCGAATGTTCAGTGTTCGCAACCGTGTAACAGTGGATCGAAAGAATGTTTATGTAACATTATCGGTGGTGCGAGAAAAGCGAATGAGTTCCTAGAATGTACGTGGAATTTCTGAACGCCTGACGACGCATAGTGTAACCGCAGTATGTGTGGAAAAGGAAAGAATGCGGTAGGATACCATTTCGGGAAGAAATCGCGAATCGGCCATTGCCAACAAAAACAAATAAACCGATCGATATTTTCTAGAAGCAAATGGGAAAGTTATTTTGGGTAACAAAATTAAGTTGCGTGGTCCCTACGGGGAGGTGAAACGTAGGTTAAGAAAAGCACAAAAGCAGGTCCTTGACGACCAAAACAGGGTCCCTAGAAATTAATTGTGACCGGCACAAGCGTGAGTCGCTCGGTGTTGGAAAGAGAGTTAAATTAAAGTGCATATTTGTGTGTTTCCGTTGCGTTATCTTGGTGTTCTTTTCCTAAGTTAAATTAATTTCATGAGTTTTGTGTTTGTGTTATTCTGTTCCTGTTGTTCTGTCAGTTTTTGGTGTCTCGAAAGTAGTTTTCGCCATTCTATAATACTGAGATGAGACCTGTGATTTGTAGTCGTGTGTTGTGTACCATCGTTAATATTGTATTTAGTCCTTAATAAATATTATTGAACTCTTACATCTCATTCACCTTTCCCCGTTTGCAATTATTTATTCTACACCAGTAAATTTAGCAATTATTGTAAATGAACAGCTGCTTTTGCTAAAATTAATATTGACTTTTATAGAAGATTTCTATCATACAATTTTAGCTAGTGTTGTTTATAAATATTACACTTAGCTACGTATTTCAGGTAGATAGCCCTAGTGTTAATCTATATTAGAGCAATGAACGAATATGAAAATTGAAAAGAAAGAGTGACGTTTTCAGTAAAAATGTATGCTGTGTACACAGGCTGAATTTAAGAAAATGGATTTAATGGTTTCGAACCAACGCTTTCAAAGCCTGACGATGAGGGGGAAGCAAAATATTTGAAGTGAAAACAAAGATTCAGAAAACAGAGGGAAGTAAGGAATTTGAAATAAAAAGATAAGTAGCTGGTGGAATTAAATTCAGCGAGTATATAATGACGAAAGGTTTAATTAAAGCAGTGAAGCATGTAATAAATATTCTGACGAAAGTGGAAAATATTTATACGAAAATTGTATGTTAGAATAATTAAAAAATGGGAATTATTCTCTCGTGAAATATTTTCATTCGAGTAACATGGGAATTTATTAGAATATTATTTAAATGAGATATTGAAACTGCCAAAAAATTTAAGTTAGAAGAAATCTCATTTTTACTCACGTGGAATAGGATAGGCATATTTATCGGGATGCTTCCCGATAATGGAATTCTTTATGTGACGACGACCAACACCATGTGCTCCCAATAACACTAACGTTTTCCGTTGGAATGCAGGATCTGAGGGAAAAAAGATCACGAAATTACCAATAGGAAATTACACATGAACAATATCATCGTAAAATAATATCACCAATCACAACGAAAAATAAAACCCTTATATTTATTTTATTCGAGCTAACCTAAATTTTTCTTAAAAAATAGGAATTTAAAGAAATAAAACACTAAACAGTGTAAAATATAGTACCAATACTATCGAAATATCAAAATTACTTTTCGTTACTAATTTTTCTCACTGAAGCATTCCTAATATTCTTTCCTCGTATTTCTTTGCACTATCAATATTCTTCAAAAATTTTATTTACTAATAACCACTTAGATACCCATAAATTAATTTTATTAAAATAAAATACTACAAAAGCAGGTCCTTGACGACCAAAACAGGGTCCCTAGAAATTAATTGTGACCGGCACAAGCGTGAGTCGCTCGGTGTTGGAAAGAGAGTTAAATTAAAGTGCATATTTGTGTGTTTCCGTTGCGTTATCTTGGTGTTCTTTTCCTAAGTTAAATTAATTTCATGAGTTTTGTGTTTGTGTTATTCTGTTCCTGTTGTTCTGTCAGTTTTTGGTGTCTCGAAAGTAGTTTTCGCCATTCTATAATACTGAGATGAGACCTGTGATTTGTAGTCGTGTGTTGTGTACCATCGTTAATATTGTATTTAGTCCTTAATAAATATTATTGAACTCTTACATCTCATTCACCTTTCCCCGTTTGCAATTATTTATTCTACACCAGTAAATTTAGCAATTATTGTAAATGAACAGCTGCTTTTGCTAAAATTAATATTGACTTTTATAGAAGATTTCTATCATACAATTTTAGCTAGTGTTGTTTATAAATATTACACTTAGCTACGTATTTCAGGTAGATAGCCCTAGTGTTAATCTATATTAGAGCAATGAACGAATATGAAAATTGAAAAGAAAGAGTGACGTTTTCAGTAAAAATGTATGCTGTGTACACAGGCTGAATTTAAGAAAATGGATTTAATGGTTTCGAACCAACGCTTTCAAAGCCTGACGATGAGGGGGAAGCAAAATATTTGAAGTGAAAACAAAGATTCAGAAAACAGAGGGAAGTAAGGAATTTGAAATAAAAAGATAAGTAGCTGGTGGAATTAAATTCAGCGAGTATATAATGACGAAAGGTTTAATTAAAGCAGTGAAGCATGTAATAAATATTCTGACGAAAGTGGAAAATATTTATACGAAAATTGTATGTTAGAATAATTAAAAAATGGGAATTATTCTCTCGTGAAATATTTTCATTCGAGTAACATGGGAATTTATTAGAATATTATTTAAATGAGATATTGAAACTGCCAAAAAATTTAAGTTAGAAGAAATCTCATTTTTACTCACGTGGAATAGGATAGGCATATTTATCGGGATGCTTCCCGATAATGGAATTCTTTATGTGACGACGACCAACACCATGTGCTCCCAATAACACTAACGTTTTCCGTTGGAATGCAGGATCTGAGGGAAAAAAGATCACGAAATTACCAATAGGAAATTACACATGAACAATATCATCGTAAAATAATATCACCAATCACAACGAAAAATAAAACCCTTATATTTATTTTATTCGAGCTAACCTAAATTTTTCTTAAAAAATAGGAATTTAAAGAAATAAAACACTAAACAGTGTAAAATATAGTACCAATACTATCGAAATATCAAAATTACTTTTCGTTACTAATTTTTCTCACTGAAGCATTCCTAATATTCTTTCCTCGTATTTCTTTGCACTATCAATATTCTTCAAAAATTTTATTTACTAATAACCACTTAGATACCCATAAATTAATTTTATTAAAATAAAATACTATCGAAATATCAAAATTACTTTTCGTTACTAATTTTTCTCACTGAAGCATTCCTAATATTCTTTCCTCATATTTCTTTGCACTATCAATATTCTCCAAAAATTTAATTAACCACAAATAACCACTTAGATATCCATAAATTAATTTGATTAAAATAAAATAATCTTCGTAAACTCAGATCGTAAGTACTTACAGGGAAGCTTAACGACTTCTTCGTAGGTGACCAGATCCAGCTGGTAATTAACTACTAATAACCATTTAGATATCCATAAATTAATTTGATTAAAATAAAATAATCTTCGTAAAGTCAGATCGTAAGTACTTACAGGGAAGCTTAACGACTTCTTCGTAGGTGACCAGATCCAGCTGGTCAAAGACTGCGTTGTGTTTCGCGAGATACTTATCCTTGTACTGCTTCTTTTTCCGGCCAAATATTGAGCAATTCACTGGAAATGTAAAAAATTGATTAGTCGAATAATTGAACTGGAAGCCATTACGCACAACCGCATGGATTCGTGTATCCTGTAAAATAATAATTTCTGATTCATGTTATGTTAGACCAATTCTCTGTAGAGTTTCGCGGCTCACGCTTCATCGTGAAACGGCATAATTAACGAACGAATATGTTATAACTCGTTGAACTCATGTTTCGCTTATTTGTAACAACATCGTATACATTAAATTTTAAATCGTACAATATTGACCTTTGTGAATTAATATAACAGAGTATATTCAACAAAACGAGGATGTATCCACGCCCTTACGACGATTAATTAATTCATTCAATAGTCTCACTTGGTCGAGTAACTCGAGTAAATTCAGCATGTAAAATTACTGCAAAATAGGTTCAATTCAGATAATTATCTAGCGACGAAATTTCTCCGCGAAAAAGTTACGTAATATTCAACTCTATAGAGAATTGTATATGCAGGCTGTTTCGTAACATGAAAGTAAGTACTCTTATGTCATAAAGTTGCATAAAGGGGTCAACTATCGTCTTCCAATTTTCCGATCTTCTTTCAATTTTAGCGGATATTAAATTTAAATAACTGATTCTGCCTGAATAACGGGTCGAATATGTTGGCAGGCGTTTATGCTCAAATATATTAAAAATGAACCATACGAGGGAAATAATTAATATTTTTCGTTGTATTTTTTTTAAAGATTCGTAATTTTTCAAATATCAGTTCAATATACAATTACTGTTCAATGCAACAATTAAAAAATAATCCGCTATTAATTAATTACTTAATGACAATATAATAACAAAAATAGGATAACTTTACGTAAAATAATGCCATAAAAATATAACAGGTGGCGTTACAGAGAGTTAATTTAAAGCTTCAAATAACACTATAAGGGCCACAAAATGGAAAGGAAGTAAATATCCAAAAAAAGTGGTACTAAATTTTATTTTCTTCGATAAATAAACTCACGCTAAATTATATTAAAATTATTAATATAAAATATATACTAAATACTGTATTAATATTTTGTGCAGACATTAAATCTATGGTACTCCTAACCTATACATGGTGATCTAACCTACAATGATCTATGGCGTGCACTTAAGTCTGTCTTTAACTCTGCATTCAAGCTAATTGTTATATCTAACGTTTACTATAAACGTATAAATAAATAGCTTCGCGTGAAAACACAAATTTGCTAATAACAGTAAAAATTATACTATACTCCTTAAGATCGTATTACGCTTAAATTCCGAATTTTCAATTTATCTACCCCGTGTCTCGCGTTAAAAAACAACCTGCATAACACGAAAACAACAGACCCAAGGGGTAAACAATACACGATCGACGACAGAAAATGTACGTTCGTGAACGTTATCGAGACGAAAATAAAATGAGAATTATCAACTCGTATCAACTGCTATGCCATTCATAACGTTCCTTGAATTCGCTCAGTGTAACGTGTGGTGGAGGCTGTAATCGAAACACTCAGCAGATCTATTGTTGCTAATCAGCATCCTCCTCGAATGTTCGAAACAGCATTTTACGCGCAATAGAAGTGAAGAACTACTTTCAGAAAATGTCAATCACTGTGTAAGCGTATTCTCTCTAATGGTAAAGAGATTTCATTCAGTCAGCCAGTTTACATAGAAGCCATAACCATAAAGGAGGGCGTGGGATTCCCACTGAGATGGGTGTTCCAGCAGGTCACAAGATGAAAAGATAACGGCATATCGTCCGATAGTTAGTGTGTTTTTGTGTGTATGTGAAATCTTGAAAATTCGTGTTCCACGATCAGAGCATGATTATGACGAGTTTGAACGGTTTTAGAACAAAATACCACGAATAAGAATGATTCGAACGTTTCGTCTTGTTCTCAGAACGAGTTTATGGGAAGAATAGAACAAAATTTTATTTCATCATACGAATAATTTTATAAACGGAGAAATCATTGAATCATACGTCAACTCGTTATGCCTTTTCCTTTTTATATATGTTATTTCACGACATGATATGAGGGCATTGTTAATGAGTGATTTAATTAAAATATTTCATAAATTTTGTTCAAGAGGAGAATTAATTTTTGTAAGAGATAATAATGTTTGGAAGTTTAGGTGTCTATGGAAGCTGTACGTTCAAAATCTCAACATAATGATGCTGCGACGATGTGCTTGCGAGTGGTGTCGTGCGAAACAAGCTTAAGTGCGTGAAACGTTTAGCGAAAGCATGCATCGAAGCACGCCGCGTGAAAGCATGTTCTGTATTACGTAGAGTAACTCTCTGTATAAGGTATAACGCTAAAACAGAAAAAAAAGATGGGAAAAAAAATATCTACTCAGTTCGTCAAATTTTTATGAAATATAGTGTTCTCATTACCCTACATAATAATCAAGTCTAGGAATTTGAACGTTAGTTAAGAATGTTAGGTTATGTTGGTTACCTGTTGTTTTTTCTTATGATTCGAGAAAATTATGAGTCACTGAGAATGTAAATTTAAAGGATAAAAGAACAATTATAAACAGATCACTGTATCCTTGAATTAAAATATAATTTATCGTTTGGTTGTTAGGTTAGGTTTATGCTAAGATCAGAAGGAGACACCAACTGTTTATCAATGTTTCTTGTGATGTGACTACATAGTAATAATTTTCCATTGTATTGTAATTGAATTTAATTTAACATTTTAATTCGATATATCCAAGGTTATATTAATAGTTGAGGAAGTTTTAAAGTTTTTGCAGTATGTTAAGTACAAGGTGTTTCAAAGTTATAGAGCAGGTGGTGATAGAGAGTGATAGAAGAAACAATTCTTTCTCGAATAAATATATATCTCATCTCATTTTATATTTTGATAATAAAATTTTAAAAGCGACTTCTTGACTTCATTGATAATATTTAAGTAATTAATATTTATTATAAATTGACTGTATAAGAAAGATATTTTATAGGTTCTTCAACTTTAGAATAATTCAGATATTTAATATTTATTGTTTAATTAACTATTTCATACTTAATTATATACATTAACATAAGTTGCTACATGTATATAAACGAAAGAGTTAATGCTACAATGTTCACAATATACTAGAATTAATTAATTATTAACTACAAAATTTAATTGCAAATTATCATACACTTCATTATTCGCGTTGTAATAATTCTCTACGATTACTAATTAAATTTTCTATCGATTGCAAACAGTATGTAACTCACGATTAAAAACTTTATCAGAACCTCGTATAAGGAAATTTCAATAAAAAAGTTTGCACGCTTTTTTAAAAAACAAAACAAGGTTAGACATACGTTTATTAAATAGAAAATTCCTTTCATCATTCTTTATTCGCCATTTCAATGACCTGCATTTCCAAAATGTGCAAGGTTAATGTCAGACTTAGAATGTAATAGGTTAGAATTTCATGTGAGAAATTTAGGTTAGAATTTTGCACGGGATGTTCAACGACTCGTGACGATGAGATGCACTGAATGATTCGATACATAGGAAAGAAAAAAATACACGTATGGAATATTCCCATGAAATTATCACAACGCGATCATTCGATTGCTCGATCGATCGTTGCTCAAGTGGCTAATAGCCGTATCCGCCGTTCCAGCGGAACGTGGCGCTAGAGTCGTCACTGAAAGTCAGCCATCTCGGACAGAAAGTGTTTCACATTACTCTCGTCGAATTAATGCGTGTGTTGAAAGCACGGAACGAGTATACTTTATATTTCATGCGGACTACACGGTTCTACGTGACTCTACGCGTTTTGTCTACCTGAAGGCAGAGTCATACCTGTCGAACCGTCGCAGCCTTCGGTGTGAGAAGAACATCCTCCTTCTCCTTCAGCATCTAGCCCCGCACAACACAAAATAACAGCTGTATAACTGAAGCTAATCATTTCCTTTTTTCGCCCTATCATCCTGATTCGCTAACCACGGTTCACGGTTCCCTCTAATTAGACACCCTTTCCATTTAATTCCCTTTAATCTCTTTAATTGACCGCTCTACCAACTCAATTGCGTTTCATCCACGATCACCCCGTTCACAAGTTTCTATTGCAAATTCTTCTGTTCTATTTCAAGGAAAGGATAATAACGGTAATCGCAAATACAAGTGAATCGAGAATGGTATCGCTTCAAAGAATAAAACGGGTAGCAGTACACATTTTCGGGTGAAAAGGTAAGAGAAATCAGAAAACAAAAGAGAGAAATTAATTGGAGGTATATTGAGTTCGTACAATAAAAAGTTTCGCGAGTTGGTAACGCTGAATAGCGGCCCGGCGAGTTGAAAATTGCAATTCCATTATGTGTTATCACGCATGATCAATCATTGAAACACTCAACTTTCGTAATCACTCGTTCCTCGTTGGAGAAAAAAAGAGCAAGATAGACAAAGACAGAAAGAGAGAAAGAGGGAGAAAGAGAAAGTAAGAGAGAGAGAATAGAGAGAGAGAGAGAGAGAGAGAGAGAGAGAGAGAAAGAGAGAGAAAGAAATTACACACACGGAGTGAACTTGGTAGATTCCTCATGAACTCGTATCGCACGATAGATATGACTGACATCGAACGATACTACATGCTCCATTGAAAACCTGCGCACATCTAACAACACATACATGACATCATATTCACCAGCACATTCGTTTCATGGCAGCAGCGAGAGTAGTGGAAATTAATCGGAGAATCAAACGTGACAGGGTTGATAATGGATCAGTAAGGCAATGGTAAAACGTGACGAAAAAATTTCGTTTTTCCGTTCTGGATATCACACAGAATGCGATCTGCTGGAACCTGTGATTACTCTGAACTCGTTCGATGCTAGGCTACAGGTGAAAAAAAAAGAGAGAAGGGGAAGGGAGGGGGTTTCTGTTCCTGGTTGCAATCATATCGTGGAAGTTAGTTACGTTCGATCCATATTGGTGTCCAGGTTCGATCTCGGTGCAAGAAATGGTAATAGTCGAGGAAAATTATTGAAAAATACGTGTAGTTTATGAAACCTTCGATTTTATGCCAGGAGAGCGAAATTGTTGCAGGGTTATAAATTTACACTGTTGCTTAAATCGGGTAACGAAACTGGGTGAATGTAAGTTTCTACTGTATATCTATATATATATACATATACATGGTGAATAAGTGTAGACAAAGGGTTATAGCAAGATTCCGTGAAATGAGAATTAAATCCTGCTGTTTATGAAAGTTCGTAATATATAGAGTGCACTGTTGTGCATGGTTTGCAGCTTCGTGTCTGTGATTTTGCTGAATGAGATTTTATTATTTAATGGCACCATAATGTCCATGATTTCAACATGTGTATATGTAGTAGTATTCAGGAAGCTAATGTTCGATTGATCGGAAAGTTTCGTCGCTTTCTTCATTTTAGCTGAAGTATGACTAAAATGAATTATTGTCTATTAAAAATATTATTATCAATTAACATTTATATTAATTAACTTTCAATGTGACGTTTACAATTTATCGTTGTTACTTTTTATTTTTGATTTTAAAACATTCTTTCGATGTTTAAAAATTAATTTTTTGTTTTTCTAACAAAATATTTTATATTAATGCAGGAAATTACTATTTATTCATAAAGGTGAAGAAGTATGGTATTTGAAATGAAATACTTAGTTAGATATATTTTATCAAAGAATATGTGTTTATAAACTCTTGCAAATGGGGAATTTTGTAAATTCGAATTTTTCATATTAATTTTACTATTTTCCAATATTACACCACCCTTTTACGTTTGAACCATTGGAATTAAAATGTCTGTAAATATCTGTTTTAACTCTGCTTCAATATCTGCGATTTCCGTAATTCGTTAAATGAAATTTTAAATGCCCACTAAATCAAGAGAGAAAACATTTCGATCAACCTGTTATAATTTTACTCAAACTCCCTTTTTCTTTTATATCGTATTTTTTATTTATTCTTCGACGATGTAGTAGTATCAGTGAATACATCTTTACAAAATTATTCCAACGCGCAACTAAAATTTGAACCCTTCAGTAGCTACTCTTCAATAGCAAACGGTAAAAAATATCGAAACAATAAATTTCTATCTCCAATTAGAATTCTTCGAACCAACGAAAATTGAGTACAAAAAAAAAAAGAAAAAATAAATAAATAAACGTTGCAGAATTCATTGTAACATCAAACCGTGATCTAAAAAAAAATCTAATATCGCATTCTTAAAATTTCAAAAAACACGTTCTATTAATCACGACGTACAATCATACCAATCACCTTTAAGCAGTGCAATTATTCTAAGTAGTCTAAACAAGGAATTAAAATCGCCATTAATTACATATAAACAAATAAAACTCTAAACTGTCCTCTAGATAAACAAAACACAAGTGTCAACTGTATACCTATCCCCCGTTAACCATTGACCAATCAAAAGTCTCACAAATTTCGGATAATCATTCCCACCTCAAACTTTTACTCGTGTCTCATAACGATCATAACGAAAGTATATCTCATAACGATCAAAGGACCAATCCATGGTGGCCTCTGAGGGTTAATTTCAATCACAAAGCATTTTCTCAGAAACTTCGGCATCCCTTTCAACTTCTCACGACGACTGTTCCTCCATATCGTAACATCTGCTCGAGAGACCTCCAGAACGAGAGAGGTGCAAAAACAAAGCCTACGCCCACGCGATATCGCTCGTCTATCGATAAAACTGACCCAGACAATACGTTCAACGTGTTACCTTGTTCTTGCTTGTTCTTTTCCATTGCCATGTAGGCGATTCTTCGCTCTTGAAGTTCAGGCGAAGGTATCAACCCCGCGGAACCGGCCGCGTTGTCCTTCTGCGCCTGCCACCAGTAATGGTCATCTTTGCTGATGATTTGCAGGATGTCCCCTGTCTTGAACGCAATCCCAGCCTGAGCACAGGGTATCAGCTCGTCCTCCAATGGATCATAGTCGAATTGTGCTCGAACGAATATCTGTTGATGCAGAAAGATCAGACTGTTAGCTCTTTTCGACGAGTCTCCAGGTAGGCTGCTAGGTTTCGATCGGTTGCCGTATCGGTGAACCTTATATGAAATCGGTGAAATGACATAGAGAGAGTTCTTGACACGTTTAGTAGAGGCCAATACATAACCGTGACGCGGGGTTAGACGTGAAAGAAAACGAGAATCGTATCCATGGTGCAAAGAATCGGGGCTGGTAATGGTACTGGTAAGAGTTTCAGGTTAGGTGAGTGGGGGTGGCGGCTAGCAATTTTCGTGCTCAGATCACCGAAACCATTTAGGTTAATCACATCGATGATAATTACTTGATGGCCTGAAACGCGTCGGCAGAATGTTCGTTCTACGACTGTATCGATCGCTGTGTCGATGCTACTTAAGTTAGCCTAGGCTATGCGAAATTAGCCCATTCGAAGCCGATGACAGGTCTACTTGCACCATTCAACTAACAACGTTAGCGAAGCAACAAAAATTACGAGTTACAAATTAATCGTATTAATTTTTCAACACGATTCCCAAAAATTGAAAAGCTTCTTGAAATTTGAACATTGATAAATCTTGATATTTAAAGAGATAGATAATTAAGATCACAATTTTGATAGTATCTATGCCATAATCGTCAAAATCAGTATCAAAATAAAGAAACAATAGAAATTATTACATTGTTAATGAGAAAGCAATGTGGTCTCTTAGGACCAATCTTGGTAAGAAAATATAATTCACTATGCTAAGGATTAACAAATTCAGTAATCATACAAATCAATTGATACGTTTTATACTTGACGTACATTGGAATCAAAAATAGTCATAAATATTGTGCAACAGATGTATACAATCTACCATGTCATTTGCCAATTCGATATTATTATTAGTCGATAAATTACTGTGCAAGTGGATCAAAGTGTATCATTCAGTGAGTGAAAAAACACTAGGTGTGTTTTCAAAAGAAATTTGAAAAATCGCAATTAAAAAATGAGATCATCAGTCAGTAACAATAAATCTTTAGTCAGTATTAACGAGTGACGTGGGATGCGCGATTGATTCCTCCTATTAGCAATTTAGCGAGGAACCATCGAAATACGCGACTCGTCTCATGGTCTAACTAGAATAAAGATTCTTTAAAATGCAACACTTCTCACCTTCTAAACCTTATCGTGCCATTTTTGCCTAAAGAGGAATACGATTTTTGGTTTTAGTGGTCGTTTGATAACGAGATTGCAGCTTCGAATGGGCTAACTCTAGAATTCAATCGCTGCGAAGAAAAGAAGCGTAGAATGCGACAAACGTAAGCGCGCTGGCGATAGTTGTTGCAAACAGCATGTACGTACTTTCGTTTCGAAGAAACGACTAGATTGTTGGAAAATCGTCCACGGAGAATACATTCCATCTCTTTCCCCGTTTTATCGTGATAGCGTTTGATAGTTGTCGTTACAGCGAGTAAGCGCAACGCGAAATAGCCATTTACAATGAAATTTTGTATTCAGCTTGAACTGCAACCAGCGATCGATGCGTAGCACGAATCGGTCACGCCGTTAAAGCAACGAAAAACACTTTACGAAAGAGGATATATTCATTCCAGTGTTATTTTATAAACGATCATAGGGTCCGAAGGGTTTCGAGGTTCGATTAAGTATAGTGAAAAGTTCACCTTTGGATTGCGGTTTGATAATAATGAAAGTAAGTGCATAAGGTAAATTGCATCTCATAATTGTACATATAGGGTGACATAATATTTTCCTTTTCAAATTTGGTAATACAATTTACGAGTGAAAATAAGTTAAGAATAATGCGTTTCATTAAATGTTGTGCTTGTTTGTAGTACGAATATATTCATGTAAAATTAATTAGTAGCAGTAGTATGAAATATATTTTAATATAATTTATTGTTGGTAGTAGTGTGGAAATATTTGAGTGTAATTAATCGGTGATAGTAGTGTGGAAATATCTTAATAAAATTGGTCAGTAATAGTAATGTAAAAATATTTTCGTAAAATTAATTAACTAGTAGTAATATGAAAATATTTTAATAAAATTAAACGGTGGTAGTAGAGTGCAAATATTTTCGAACAATTAATCAGTGGTGATATTAATATTAGAATTAATTAAATTAAAATTAATTAGTGGTAATGGTAACGTGAAAATGAAGTAAAGGAATAATCAATAGCAGCAATGTGAAAAGATTTCAGTAAATTCAGGCAAAAATTATAGAATAAAATTCTGTTCCATTGAATTAAATATTTGGTTGCTTCTGTATTTAAATATTTGAATAAAAATATCAAAAAATATAAATACTGTAAAAATTCAATGTTTCGTTTGCACAGAGCGTGGAAAAATGCGATTTAAACAACAAAGAATTCACCTTTGAATTTGGATTAAATCGAATCTAAAAGAATAACTTTAATTTCTTTTAACGAAACAGCGAAATGCTATATGAATTTATATTTCATCAAATTTTTCCAATTAAGATGAACCTCGTACGATTTTTGTGATTCAATTAATATATAACCGATAAATCTCAGTCACGAATTGGAATTGAATCGAAAGAAAACACGGCGAAATTAATATTTATTTAACCCCCTGAATTATTACGAATATTTTTATCCAATTCTAGGGACGACAGTTGCGTTCCTCGGTATCGCGAGTTTAATAAAAAAAAAAATTTGCATTCGCCTAAAATTCCTCTTTCATTTTTACTCGTGGTTCACATTACCAAAGTGAATTCAAAAGAGCTCGATAATATATCTCTGTCTTATTTCGCAGTAACAATGCCAATAGATGTCTCTGCTCAAAGGTGAACTTGTGTACGAATTTGACATTTTTTCACACATTTGATTATCGCAAAAACACAAAACTCTGTTCGTAAAGCGTTTGCAAATGACACTATGTATTAGTTCGCAATCATTAATAATCCCATTAGAAAATATAAAATGAAAAGAGAAAATATCAAATCGCTGGTTTCGAGAGTCTATTAGCGACCACGAATAATCGATTGGCTTAAAAAGCTATCGTTCTATATATAAATATACATATGTACATGTAAATTCGTATGCGGCTTCAGTTCCAAAAAAGTTCAACGACACTAGAACGACATTTATACGATCTCGTTGCCATTATTAAATCGTATTAAAATCAATGCAACGATCGTTCATCTAGCGATGCATACACATGGACAAAATGACTCGCCTCTTTCATCTTTTTTTCTTTTTTTTTTCTTTTTTTTTTTTCGTCTGTACATTCATTCTTTTTTTTTCTTTTTTTTTTCTTCCTCTTTATTTCCGACAATAAGCTGAAGCACTAGATGCTTGCACAATACGTACACAGCACACCGACACGCACACGCACGCCACATACGCACAAGTACACGCTTGGAAAATGCACGATATGCAGAGTATGCACTCGGGCTCTACGTAAATGTGCGAGTAAGAAATACGGCATACGGAAGGAATAGAATAATAAATGCTGAGTGACGATATAAAAATGCCATTTGACTTGCGCGCGGTACCATTCGCAATCGAGAATATGGCCGACGATGATTCGTAATGAACTCGATAGGGGGCAGTGGTGTGGTGAGTGATGAGGGTCGTGTTTCGTGAGAACCAGCCCTGCACGAATAACTGTTCCCATGATTCGTTTCGAGCTTATTATCTCGATGATTATAACGTGACTATGATGCGAATGAATTTTTGGATTTTCGAACGTAAGCAACAAGTTTTGGATATTTGGATTATCTATCTTTTCTTTTTGGATTTCTCACGGGAGAGTGGATATAGAAAGGTCACGAATAGTTGAATTATCAAGGGATTGGTACTATGATTAGGGAAAAAGTCTTGCGATGCTCGTCGAAAAGGCCATTTTATTTATGGAAAATTCGAGCATCTCATTATCTCGAATATGAGTGGCGTGGATTCCTCGTGGAAGGAGTAAGTGGGTGCTACATGTGTGGACATGCATGATCTATAAGTTGGAAAATGTTTGTTTGGCGAGTAATTTGATAGGATTGTTTATGTAATGTATTGAGTGAATTTTTTAAAATGTTTTAAATACGTAGTAATTAAAAGTTCATGCTAAATATTGATGGAATTAATAGAATAATTGAACACTCATTGTGTGGTGTTTCAGGATTATTTTTGTAATGTTAAGTTGTCTTTGCGAGTTAGAAAGTTTATGAAAGATTCACGCAAAGTATTTAGTCGGTGAAAATTCTTTAGAAAGTATTAATAAGATATAGGCAGTATATAACATTATCACAACAACGAAAGCTGGCTAGCACTGGTAGTAGATACGTGATATTTTTGATAAAATACGATAAAATGTTGAATGGACAATGAAATAGGAATTACCAATAATATTAATGAAATATATAAAAAGATCTAAATAATTATGAAAACGAATAAAAAAAAAAAATGCTACCCAAGATCGAATTATTCAAACCGATTCTTAAATATTAATTTATCGTTCAAAAATAGAATAAATAAAAAAAGAATTCTCTTCCTGTATGAATCGAATACTATGTTATCAATGCCTTCTTTAAGACTTAGAATATCATATGGATATCTTCCATATCTAGAATTTAAAAGACTTTCTTATACGATCGATAGATTCTTAAGATCAGATTAGTGGAAAAAAGTTTGGATTAAGCATAGAGTATATAGATGGGCTAAATGAAAGTCGAAGAACTAAGTAAGGAATAGATTGGTATATTCGTACAGGCTTAGTCTCTACGGCTAAAACTAACGTGATGTTTCAATGGTCGCGCAATCATCTACGCCTCTCAGTGACTACGAGGCTCGCCATAACAGTGTTTCGTTGCAATAGCAATGAAAGGAAGACTCTCGTGTTCAGGTGTGCTAGATGAAAGAGAGAAATAGAGGCAAAGGAAAGGTGAACGAGGAGAGAAAAATGGGATAAGAGCCTTTTCATGAACGTCATACGCGCTGACACGTTCCTTATTTAAATCATATCTGGGAACCTTGCTA